CAGTCCATCAATATAAAAATGAGCGCATTTTACTCTTTTGTACATAGATTATTAACAGTACCGTTAACGAAATCTAATTACGAAAAGGAAATCAATCTATTAAAATGTTTAGCAATTAATAATGGTTACAATGAAAACCTCATAGATAATCTAATTTTTAAAATAAACAATAGACTTATTTCAAAATATTTTTACGCAGTCGCAAAACAAACCAAAAAATTTAATATGTTGAATTATGTTCCCATAGTATCCGATAAAATAAGTAATTTCTTAAAAAAACAAAATGTAAATACAATCATGGTCAATAAACGTAACTTGAAATCCATTTTATGTAATAATAAGGAAAAAGTTGGTATTTTACAGAAATGTGGTGTTTATCAGATTAATTGTTCCGAATGCGATGCCATATATATTGGACAGACAGGACGTGCCCTTTCCGAACGTATAAAGGAGCATAAAAAGTCTATTTATAATGATCGCAATACGACGGGTTTTAGTGAACATTGTAATTCTAATGCGCATTTCCTAGATGAAAATAATATAAAGTTACTACACAGTTTACCTAAAAGTTTTAAATTGAATCTGTTTGAGACAATAGAAATAGAATTAGCAAAAAAACATAATAAATTCATAACGAACGATCAAATTAATTTTACTCTATCTCCAATAATAGAAAATGTAATACATAGTATCTCATAAGGTACTCATACACAGGCGCATACATATCATACCGTTGAGCGACAACTACATTTGTAATACTTGTACTTGACTTAAGCGAACTGATGTACATAGACCATTCAGTGTAATCTGAATTTCAGCGTAACTGCCGAAACAGCTGTCTGAATGAAATGTTTCACCAACGCCCAAGCGAGAAATCAATTAATAATAAAATAAAAACTAATCGTAGATTTGTAAACATTTTGACAAAAGACACACAGCGCTTTTCTTCATTTCTTATCTCTGTAATGGGCTTTTCTTTAGGCAGTGAGTTAACTTTAACGAGAGTTGTAAAAATTACAATAACGTAATAACAACTTTTCCAACAGGAAAAACTACTCAATTTCAAGACAAAAATTATCAGAGTATTTAAGTATACATTTACACTCGTTCCCTTACGACGACTCGTGTAAATTACTATCTCTCCTCTCGTCGACTGCAAAAAGATAATTCCATCTGCATTTCTCGCAAGGCCAGTACTCGCAAAGCACACGTACGCGTGATTAATCCTCACGTACCGCATAAATTCGCACGTCGA